GATTTAGATCATGGAGTTATGGCTAAAGTCTTGCCTCTTTCTCCAGATTTCATCGCCTCTCTATCATATCTACTTTCTTTATATGTTTTTGAAGTGAAATCTAGTGAGTTTTATATTAGGTTTTGGTACTGAAGTACACTTTATTCAGATGCACAAATTCACTTGCTAACCGGTGAAGGAAACTGATCCAACCCAACCCCTCTTTCGTTAGATTAGGGTTTTGTTTCTTTTTTTTATAGTTCTTTTGGGTTTGTTTGGTTCGTCTTCGGTTGATAATTTAGGAAACTGATGATCTGAAAATATGTTTTTAGTTATTGATGTTATGAGTTGTACAAAATGCTTGTTGTCACTAATGGAGTAGAATATCTTTAACCTTAAGTCCTAGCTAAATTAAAAACTGCATGCGTTTGTATTTTTGTAGGTACGGGATCAGCTCCATCAAGCTGGTTATTATGTCGATGTTGACACAAGTGATAAAACAATTCAGAAAAAGGTGAGCATTCATAACTTGGGTAAATGCAGGATTTGATGCCTTGTGTTTGTTTACTGATAATGCTCTTGTTTTTGCAGGTACGACAAGCTCAGATGGCACAGTACAACTACATTTTAGTTGTGGGTGCGGAGGAAGTTCAAAATGGACAGGTCCGTTTTTCTTTTCTTCGTAATTTTGTTATTTTTGTTTATGCTGCTGCCCATGGTCCTTTGTTGTAAGTTAAACTCTGCCATTAAGTCTTCTAGTGAGAAGTTAATCTGTGATCCATCCTCATATGGTTTCAGGTTAGCGTAAGGGTTAGAGATAAGGGTGATGTGACAGTAATGAGCATGGAGGGCCTACTACAACACTTCAAGGACCAAGTTGAAGCTTTCCATTAGGATGTCCCTTCATTTTGTTATTTATTTTTGGGCGTGATGCTCTGAACTTGTTCCACACAAATACCATTTTAACACCGTCTGCGTAGCGACGGGTGATTTGATGATCTAACACCGATGGATTGTTTATTTTAACTAAAATGTTAAGACTTTCTACCTCCACATTTGATGATCTAACACCGATGGATTGTTTATTTAACTAAAATGTTAAGACTTTCTACCTCCACTAGCAGTTGATGATTACCGTAACCGTTGATCTTCAATTTTAAGTTTTTTTTTTTAAAATTAGGAAACAATTTTTTTGAATCACGCAAAAAAAGAAAGAAAAAGGAAAAAGAAAGTTGAAATGGAACATATATGTATTCCATCACGGCAATTAAATGTTGATGGAGCAAAAATGGAGGAGAAAATGTACACGGGAAATTATTAAAACTGATGTTCTACTTGAGAAGAAGAAGAATTGTTGGCTTTTGAAGAATTGGGCGCGACTTTCTGCCAAAATTGTATTTTTGGTTTCTTGTTTTGTTTTGTTTTGAGGAAACTGTTTGGATAGAAAGGACTTGAATCCCTGTGTTGTTGAGGACGATTTTTAGTTTGACAAGAAAATAACGTTTAGTTTAGCTCTTGGAAACAAATTTTATTATGGTTCATTAAAACTTCACTAGGTCCAATCTACATGTGGTGTTGGAACTTGGAACTTCATTTTATGCGAAACCAAAAGCATACGTTTGAATGTATTTAGAAATCCCAAGGCTTTAATCTCAATGCATTTATTTTTCAATAACTAGATTCTCTATTTGCAGAAAGAAAACTTGTTTGGGAGTGACTCTGAATAGGCCAAAAAGCGCTTCTATGGAGAATCACTTCTCCAAATAATTACTTCAAGTGATTTTAAGTGATTTTGTGTAGAAACACATAGGTGGAGCTTATGACCAGAATCACTTAAAATCACTCATAAGTGATTATACAGAGAAGCACATGGGACGTGGCTCTCCCCAGAAGTGATTATGGCATATCTAAATAAGCCCTAAATGTTGTGTTTAAAAAGATATATGTGAAAAAATACATTCATTCTAAATATGGTGGATTAAAGTACTCGCGTTTCAATTGTATTATGCTAAAAATACATTAGAAATAATAGAAAGTAGTTTTTTATTTTATAAATTCTTACAAATTGGTACTTACAGCAAAAACTATCTTACAAATCTGTGTTAAAACAGAACATATTGGCTTAATACCCTGTTGCATAGCAAATACTGCAACATTCTTGCAAATGCTGACAATCCACAGAAAGGCAAAAAACACAAAATCATACCATAATTTTATACCAATTTTCTGGAATAAACATATGCAAAGAGAAAATAAGCCACTAAAAGACATTAACTAGCAAATTGATGAGCAGACTGGAGGTTCCTATATTGATTGCTCCAGTTCTTTTTCCTTGGATCTTCCTCCATGGGAGAAACATGCTGTGACATTGAAATGCTTTGACAAATGTTGTAGTAGTAGAAAAGAAACCTGCCACCATCGAAGAAAGTCCCTCAGAAAGATCAGAGTCATCATCCCCATCATCACCATCTTCAGCATCTTCACTGCTCGCAACAAGTAGATCACCTTTTTCTTCAGTTGAATCTAAAGAATTCAAGCTGCTAGTGGCATCCAACGCTTTGGAGCTAAC